TTCTTTTTTCTGAAAGAAGATTCTGTTATTTTCTAATACGATATAACAACTTGATCCTTCCGTTCATCTGTTGCAAAGAAAAACTAAGAGAAAGTAAATAAGCATTATCTTAGAATGAAAAGGTACTTAATCTGCGACAAAATTGAAAAGAAATGTATTCATTCTTTCATTCTTTTCACAAATGTATATCATGTACTTCTTACATGATGGATATTTTTCTAAAAAGGAGAACAAAGTGTTTTCTCTCCTGGGCTATATTTTAGCTTCAGGACTGGGAGAAAGAGTGAGGAGTAATAAACAAATAAATGCGCCCTATCTCAGAGGACAGGAAGGACTCCAAAGAAAAAGGCACCGTGGCTAGAAGGTGTTGATAGAGAGAGGACAGAGAAGCCCTCTCTGATGAGGTGATATCTGAATAGAATTTGGAGGAAACAAGGGAAGAGTCAGCAATACCCCTCAGGGCAGAGCATTCCAGGCAGAGCACAAGTTCCAGATTGCAGTGTCCAGAACCAAGTGTGAAAGAGGAAGCCCTTAAGGCAGTAAGGCCAGAGTCACCAGGGGTAGGCTCTTCAAGGCCATGTAGAGGCTTTGCCTTCACCCTGACACAGACAGAAAGTCACAGACAGCTCTGAGTGGAGGAGTGAAAAGATCTGCTCATTTTTGAAAGGCAGGTCTGGCTGCAGTGGGAGCAGGGACATGATTAAGTGGGATTTCAAAAGGTTGAGCAAAATGTGGTGATGGCAGTGAAGGTGGTGCACGGAATGCAGATGTGAGAGAGCGAGAAGTCGAGGGTGCCATCCAAGTGCTGGCCTGAAATACTGGGAGGCTGACTGGCAGTTTACTGGCATGATGAAGGATGACAGGAGCAAGCATGGGGAGAAAATTGGGAGTTTGGTTTCAAACACAGGCAGGCTAATTTTGCTGTTAGTCACAGAGTGGAGATGTTGAATAGGCAGTTTGCTGTACTCTGGAGATCAGTGAAGAGGTCAGAACTGGAGATGAACATCTGAGAGACATCAGCCTGGAAACGGTATTTAAGACCCAACACTGGATCAGCCCACTTGACTCAGCATATTTCAAGAGAGAAATTCCAAAGACTGACTCCTGGGCTGCTGCTACATTTGAAGTCTAGGAGATGAGAAAGAAACATCAGAAGTGGAGAATAAGCCTAAACCAAGAGACGGACAGTTCAAGAAGCTCAAGGAAATATTTCTAGGGAGGACAGGGTCAACGGTTCAGTTCACTGACAGATGATCGAGCAAGGTGAGGACCAAGAACTGGTCATCAACTTAGCAAAGGGGAAGTTGCTCTCACCTTAATGGGGTGGACTGGCACAGGCTGTGAAGTCTGGCCACAATGGATTTGAAGAGGAGGCGAAGGGAAGAGGAGACAAGTATGGACAACGCTTTCAATGACTTCTGGCAAAAGAAGAGTGAGAAATAAAGATGGGAGAAATTGCAGCATATATGAGTATTGCCATGTTGGATGCAGTGGAGAGGGAAAAACCTGATTATGTAAGGGGGGATGTGGAATCCCGCAAATTAAAGCTTTCCTAAGGTATACCTACGGTGATTCCGTTGGGATAAAGCAATTAATGTGTATCTAGGGAAGTAAATTTATTCATGCTATTTTTTTCTTCTTCGTATACATGCATACCAAAAAGCTGTTACATATGCATGCTTTTTAAAGAAAAATATTTTTCATGGAACCATAATAGAACCTTGAAAAGAAAATGTTTGAAACTATGTTTTTGTCTTTCCTTCCCTCCTCTCTTCTACAATTCCTCCTTTTTAAGACTGTGAACATACTTGTGGCCCAGAGTTTCAGCTAAAAAAATTGAGGCTTTGGGATTGATGAGAAACTATTTCTCCTCTAGTAGTATTTTGATTTATTGAAATCTTTGAAGATAAAAATAATAGAAATTTACTTCATAATAATTTAGTTGGGAAAAGGGGATAAACTGGGTGGAGGTTGGAGAGGAGATGAAAGAAGTTGGTTTTGAGTTGATGGTGGAGGAAGCTTGGTGACAGATGTGATTCCTGTATAATTCTATTTCTGTATGTGTTTGAAAATGTCCATAATACAAAGTTAAACTTTAAAAGGAACTTAGGGTTGATACCGTGCTTAACCCAAAAGAGGCCAGTAAGTGATAAATTTCCAGATATTTGGTAATGGGAGGAGCAATTTGGGAGCACAGGAATCTTTGTGGTAGTTTTCAGATCCTATCAACTACTTAGCTTTCACAGGCTAGGCCAGCCTAGATGACTTTTAATTGATAAGAAAATGTCTCGGTTGTTTTAAGATAGAATTATTTTGGATGCTTATTATGGGAAGTTTGAATGACTGTATTTTCTTAGCAGAGGCTTGGTTCTCTTAAATATCTCATCACTTTAGGTAAGCATAGGAATTTTACACTTAAGCTATGAATACTTTCCAAAGAAAGCAATGCTATAGGTCTAGCTGCTAACCCAATTGATTGTTACGTAACAAATAGTGGCATTAACCATTGCAAGGTGAAGTTTCTTTGCAACAGTTGCCACTTTTTAAAAAAGAAATTGTGATTTATTGCTATATAAACATTTAGCTATCAAAGATTCTTCATCTTTTCAAGTAAGCTAAGGTGAAAACAACCATTTTGCTACATTAATTCTTCAAATATTATCACGGGGTATTGTTTGTGTTTTCCAGTTATTCCTTAACCATTTTATAGTGTTATGGTTTCTCTAATTGTTGGTAGTTTCTACCAGGGGAAGTTGAAAAACAAACTGCAATAGCTTTATTCTAGATCAGAAATATTTGAATTTGATTAATTACATCCACTCTACCCACAGAGTATTTGTTATTAAAAGAGCACTATGTATTTGAGACATATAAATTCTACTTCAAAAATGAAACCCAGTTAGGTGGTTCTTTTGCAGCTTACGGTCTCTTTTGTCTGGTTTTATTGCCCTCCACATTTCCCTGGTGTAAACTACTGAGCAAGGGAACAAGATTTCCTTTGTAACTGATACCTAAGTTTCTATTCTGCTTTAAGCATCTAATTTGCACTGTGAAGACATATAATTTGGGACTTGTAGCTAAATCATGAAAATACAACAGTTTTATGCTGATCTCTAATTATCTGAGTTGCACTGGCTATAATTTAAATTTTCTGCATGTTTTTAACTGCCATGCAAATCAGTATACATCAGAAACCTTTGTATATTGACAGAAACTAGGAAAAAGCTGCCTTGTTCTGATTCCAGATAGGCATTGGCTTTCTAGGTCTGCAGGTGCGAGGGGGCCCGTTCATAATATTCACTTCAACTCAGTTTGATTTATGTGAAAATATAATGCTATTACCCAAGAGGTTGACTAATCTTTACAAGAACAATACATAGGAAAATTATTACTGGTAGCGAATTCTAGAGGCAAGCAGGACTCTTTCCTTTGCCTATGTATTAAGAATAAAATATACTCTGTTGACACAAGTTTTATTAGTGTGGGCGGGTGTTTCTACCAATTATAATAGAGGAAACACTTTGTTACTTATTGAAACAGAATGGAATTACACTGGGTGGAAAATCTGCTACAATAAATGCATGCTCTATTTGAGAGATAATTGATAATGAATGTTACTTTTTCCTTTGCCTTAAGTTTCGCTTATTTCAAAACTAATAAGTCAAAAATAACCACGAGATAAAAGTTTACTCTAATTGTTCCCATTTCTGATAACTGGGTAAATCATGAAACTAATATTAGGCAACTACATCTGCAGCAGTTAAGTGAAGTTAGCTGGACGGTTCCATTGTGAATCCTAATTTATAAGATTATACATTGTTATGATTAGCTTCAGGTAAAAATCTGGTACATCAATTCAAAGGGTAAGAATAAATTTTAGTCCACAAAACAATTACAATGATTAATTACACTCTTCCTGAGCCAGAGAGTCAAAGTAAGGTTCTAGCAGAATTTAAGGACTCTGATCAGAGAAAAACAAACAAACAAACAAACAAACAAACAAAAAACTCACTGCATTGGCAAAAATAAATGTTCGATATATATTGAAAACCAGTAAGAATTTACCCTAAATGATTAATTACTCTCACTTATTTTGTTTTATGGTTTGCAAAAATTCCAGTGCTACTGCCTTACATTTGATTTTGATTGCATAAATCAAAAGTCTCAAAACACTTTCTCACCTATTTGACCTAAACTTCCCTTAGTAACTTAAGGAGGGCAGGTATTATTCCCATTTTACAAATGAGGACAAGAAAGTTTATAAAGAGATAACCTCTTTGAACCAAGGTAACTTTGACCTCAGTGGCTGGCCTGCGCTGAAAGCTGTTCCAGGATTCCCTCTGTTTCTCAGCGTCAGATTGATTTCAGCAAGGTACAATTTGCTAAGAAAGTTTCTTTCCCTCTTGTGTGTGTGTGTGTGTATTTAAGCCAAAAGGACGGTGACTTAAAGCACCAGTGTTCCTCAAGTGTTTTTAATTTATTCGGAGCAGCACTACCACAGAAGACACTTGTATGTTGCAGTCTTTTTCATCCTTCTTTCATGGACCCAGAAATGGAACACTCACTCCCATTATAACTAATTTATCCTCAGCCTTGAGCCAAATGCAAACAATAGTTAGTGTATCCAAATGCCAGAAAAATGGGAAGCACATTCTTTACAGATCATGCCCTCGAAGATGTACTAGAACTCCTAAATTGACTTCTGTAAGTACAACCCCCTTCCCTCCACACTTGCATTCTATTACAGCTTCCCCGGTACTCGGGAACAACACAGTGTCTCCCATAATTCGTTATTGCTGTCACTTCTGGGCGGAAATGCTTGACACCTGGCCTCCCTGAGGCCGCATGCGATGGACGCCACCCATGCCTATCTGAAATTCTCAGAGGCAGAGGCTGACATCCGCCACTTACCTGGACGGGATGCTCTGGCCAGGCAGTTCTTCTTGCCAGTCGAAGACCTTCGGGGAAAAGAAGAAAACAAAACAGAGCAAGAAACTTACCAGTTTGGCCCAGTCCAGGAACAAGTGAACACACCCAGGCTGCCCGGAGGAACAAGCCAGGACCTCGCCGGCACTTTTGCAGGCAAACAAATGCAGCGGTTAAAAAAGCCAGGGCCGAGCCGCACATAATGCAAAGCAGCCCGCCCCGCGCCCGCCGCTTGGCTGCTTTCCGGACGCGCGCTCGCGCCTCCCGGGCGCACCTCCCGGCCCGCGGGCCGAGTGTCACTAGGACGTTTTCCCCAGGCCCGGCAGGCGGACCTCGCGCCTCGGAGCAAGCGGTGCAGGTACGCGGGCCCGGGCGCCGCTCGGCATCTCAGGGCCCCCGCGGCCCTCGCAGCTCCGCACGGCCGTCCCTGCTGTGTCCTTGAGAAGCACCTCCTTAGACGGCCCAGGGCCCGCAGCCCGCTCGGGACAAAGAAAAGAGCTTTTGTTTCTGTCCAGCCGGTGGGGCTTCTGCTGCATAAATCAGCTTAGCGAAGAGCCAAACACAATCAAACTCAAACAAAGCCCGAGGCGAGGGGGGGAAACCACCCTAATGTACATTCACTGGGTGATGCTGCCACTGTGGGAGGGGACGCGGGCGAGGCCGGAGGGGATGCCGTCGGGGCCGCCTCAGTCGGGCGAGCTTCTTCCACAGGTGGGCAGGGAGGCCGGCTCCGCTTAGTTGCAGCCTTGCAGCCTCATTTGTAGAGCAGCGAGCAAAGACGAGGCGGCCGAGTCCCGGTTGGCGAGGGAGGACGCTCGGGATGCCAGCAGCCGGGGGAGGCGGCTCAGAGCGCGCCCTCGAAGCGCCGGCCGAAGCCGGCAGGCACCGAGCTCGGCATCGCCGCCCCCTGCCTGGTGGGGAGAGGAGGCACCGCCAGAGAGCAGGAGCCGACCTGGCGCACAGGGGCCTGTGCCTTGGCTCTTTTGGCCCCAGTGCGCGGCTCAGGCGTCCGCGGCTCGGAGCCCGGGCAGCTGATGCGCTCTGGGGTGCACCCGGCAAGGAGGAGAGGGAGGCGAGGCCGGCGATGGGCGGGAGAGGGGTGGTCCGGCCCGGCCCGCGGGGGCTTCCGACGGCGCGTAGGTAGGCGCGCTCCAGGCCTCGGGTTGCTAGGAAACCGCCCCCAAGCTAGTGAGCACCTAGCCCCGGCGGCCGGCAGGCGCGGCGGGGGCGCCGCGGAACAGCAGCAGCAACCGCTCGGAGTAGCGTGGGCGGGACATTGGTGAGGCATGAAGTCACCGCGGCCCACACTCGCTCTTTGTTTTGCTCACTCCAGCTCTTTTTTTTTTTTCCCCTCCCTTGGCTCTGATAGTTGCCATTCCCATCGTTCACAAGAACTCCCGATGCGTAGCCGCACCGTAGAAGTTGCACGGCGCATTCCCTTTGCCCTCCTCCCCCCGAGTCCTCGCACCCCGAAGCTCGCCTGACGGGTGCAGTGGGAGACTCACTCCGCACGAGTGGCAGCTGGGGGCAAACTCGATCTCTCCCCCTCCCCGCGCTGCGCGATCCTTTGTTCGGAGATACTCACTGCTCCGAAGCTGCTGCATGCAAAGTGGAGTCCCGGGGCCTTCCCCGCCCCCAACGCCCTCCGCTCGGCGGTGGGGGTGCGCACTCCCCGCTTTGCTTTGCAGACTTGGGAACCCTCTGCCCCAGCCCTTGCAGACTTGGGCTAGTCGGCAGGGGCCGTTCCCGTTACTGGATGAGCGTTCTCTCCCTTACTTCTCCACTCTGAGCCTCCGAGCAGAGCGGGACGGGCCTGCTCAGAGAGTCTGCTGCTGGCTCTGGGCTTGTGCTAGTTTCAGTGGATCTTTTGACCTTACGCGTCACCTTCTCAGTAAACGGAACAAAGAAGTTACAGACGGCAGCAAAG